CTTGGGAGAGCTGAAGATATACAACAAACAATGTTTGTACATGACTGTTTTTACATCTTTCTTTTCTGAGCAGTGCATTAAAGAAATACTCAAAGCACCATAACCAGTTATTATGGTGCCAGGAGCACTCTAGTTCCTTCCCAGGGTAAGTAGTCCATACCATCTCCACAGAAGGTGGTGGATGCCCTGTGGATCCCAAGTAAATTGTCAAACCATTCTCAAATGGTCTGACTATTTACAGTGGGGTGGGACCAGGATACTCCTAGCACCATAGCCACTACAAAAGGTTATTGTGCTTTCAGTGTTCCTTTAAAAAGGGGGTCAACTCCAGCTTTAACTCTTGTTGCGTCGCAAGAACTGGAGAGCTACATTGGTCTACAGCAGCACTGCCCAGTTTCCTGAAGCCCATGGAGAAAGTGCAGCATAGGGAATAGGGCCCTGACAGGGCTAGAAGGCGAGCTAGGGGGCGGGAGAAGTAGTGGGGATTGGTGGGTCAGTGTTTGGGGTTTGGCTGATATAAAGAGTCAGCCATGTTGTGATCCCTCACTCTAATTTCTTACCTTGCAGATTTGGTCCCTCCCTCCCTTTTGTAGCCTTTTTTCCCCGCTTGGTCACAGCGGCGGGGTGGGGTAAGGAACATTAAGTAAAAATGGGCCTTAGTTAATATAGGAGTAAGGGGAGTTAGTTGATTGATTAAAAGGGTACACTGTTCGTACATGTTTTGGTAGGTTTCGAGTCCGTTGCTGGCTCAGAACCTCGGTGGTGTAGGGGTATCTCGGTATACCACTCCAGGTGAAATTGATCAATGTTGGCACATTACATGCTATATTTATATGGTTGTTATATATTGGGAAATGTGTTATGTTGTGGGTCATTGCCTTGATTTAAATATGGAAGAGATGATATGATGTTGGGGGTGTGGCAGTTAATTACCTTTATATAAAGAATTGTAAATCATAAGTTATTATTATTATCTTTATTATTATTAAAGCTGTTGACATTTTTGACCCATACCTCTGAGTGTTGGTGTCTTATTGGGTGGGTTGGGTTCAGGTCATATAACCCTCCCCTGCCCATATGGCAACTATGCACCTGTCATGATGTGGGTAGCCATATTTTGTTAAACCAACAGTGGTGGATCACAAAGAAATGTGCACTTTTGATAAATGCAGTCAAAGTTAATCCATTTCCCACAAAAGTCCTCTCCTTTTAAATGTTCTTCACTGTCCTATCTCACCTCTTCCCTCATCATTCTATTTTTATATTACATGGCTTTTTCCTTTTTTCCTCCATTTCCCATTTTCATTAGATCTCTTCCTCTTCCTTCTTATTCCCATTTTTCTTTTTATTTCTCTTTCTTATTCCATAGTCCTATTTCCAACTCATTAACATTTACCCTTTTATTAAAAAAAAAAAAGAAGAATAATCACTTTACCGTGCATCATTTGAGAACGGATTGTGGGTAGAAAATAATTAAGCAATATCTAATACCTTTATTGCTAAAATGGAAAAAATTATCTTTTCTTTTTCAGCCAACTCAGGATAAAAAAAATAATGCAGAACAACACCACTCAGTTTCTTCTGATGTCATACAAGCAACAAAACTGTTTGTAATTTCTAAATATCATGCTCTTTTAGTCCAACCTGAGATACATTAATAAGCTTTACTATATTTCCATTTCATAGATATTTTCCTTATTTATCTGCAGTGGGCTGGTCAACTAATAATAACTGTACAATAAACAATAGAGCAAAAAATACTTTTCTAAAGGGGCCCACTACACAGGGACCATCTTGCGACTTTAAGGAGTATAAGGACCTGATGGATGAGCATAGCAGCCATGTGCCTTAATCCATGTCAATGTAACTATTGCATACACGCAATAGGACCTGCGAGTCAGATAAAATTTAACTTGCCAGAAAAACTGGCGACCTGCGAGCCATCAAAGTATACAGCAATATCACACACCAGTCATGTAACCTGAGCAATCCGTATGATTCATAGGACCTGCAAGTCCACCCAGAAAGTTTTTTCAATTTTATTTCTATGACGCAATTCACGCAACTCATGTGAAAAAAGAAAAAAAAAATTGTTCAATAAACATCATATTTACACAAAAAAAAAAAAAAAAACTTTTCTGCCACGGAACTCAATCTACCACTGTTATTAGGACAGGCTGATTACTAGCAAGACCTAGACAGTAGTTGACCGGAAAGAGCAGTACAAGGGCGTGAGACAATAGGTGGAAGAATGGAACAGCAGGATGACACAAGAGCAAGGACAATAAAGGCATTTGTTGAAATAAACAATCTGCTATTCAGTTTGATCATTTTCCTTCTAGTCATTTTCAGAAATGCCCCACCTCATCCACACTTGTAGGCACTGATCAACAAATGTCTTTCCTCTTTGAAATGTAGAAAGCTACACAACCTAGCCATGAAGACTCTACAGTATTTACCAACATGGAATTTGCTTCTTATTCAGTCTCAACAATTCTCGGCAGAATCCAAATGACCGTACATAAGCATATAAATGTCAGCACAGGTT